AAACAACTCCATGACACTTCACCACAATGACTATTGATAGTAAAAATCTTGTCATGTGTTCATCAGGCTTTGTATAGTCTTTTTAAAGAAAAGTCTATTCATATTATTTGCCATTTTTAAGTTGAGTTGTTTTATTGCTGGGTTACAAGAGTTATTTATATATTTTCGATACAAATTCCTTATCAAATATATGATTTGCAAACATTTTCACCTGTTCTATGGCTTATTCTTGATACTGGTTTAAAAGCACCCCCAATTTGGCTTAGCAAAAGGAGCCCTGGTGGCACAGCAGTTAAGCACCCAGCTGCTAACAAAAAGACTAGCAGTTCTGACCCAATGGATCTGCAAAAGAAAAACACAGCTATCTATCTGCTCCCATGGATGTTGTTGTTAGGCGCCGCTGGGTCAGTTCCAACTCAGAGAAACCTTATGCACAACAGAATGAAACTGACATTACAGCCTGAGGAAGCCAATGGGGCAGTTCTACTCTGTCACTTGGGGTCACTATGAGTTGGAACCCACTGGACTGCACCACCACCAACAGAAACCTGGTTTAATAAACGTCTCAAACTTATAATTACCTGAGAAACTTTAGAAACCTTTAGGGATCCAGGCATCAGCCTTTTTAAATCAGGTGACTAGAATCAGATGATTCTAACTTGCAGCCAAGTTGGAGAACCAAGGATCTACCAGAAGAAGCTATACTTCTTATCCAGAAATCCATGGGTCTTAACAGGCTTGTCCTGCATTATTTTCTCATTTCAAAATTTTCTTAATTGTTGTTATTAGGTGCCATTGTGTCCATTCCAATTCATAGCGACACTATGCACAACAGATCAAAACACTGCCTGGCTCTGTGTCATCCTCACAAGTGTTAAGGTTAAGCCCAGTGTTGCTGCCACTGTGTCAATCTACTCTGTAGGGAGTCTTCCTCTTTTGCACTGACCCTTCACTTAACCAAACATGATGTCCTTCTCTAGGGACTGGTCCCTCCTGGCAACATGTCCAAAGTATAACAGATGAAATCTCACCATCCTGGCTTCTAAAGAGCACTCTGGCTGTACTTCTTCCAAGACAGATTTGTTTGTTCTTCTGGCAGTCCAGGGTACTTTCAATATTCTTCACAAACACCAGACATCAAATGCATAAATTCCTTTTTGGTCTTCCATATTCATTGTCCAACTTTCATATTCATATGAAGCTATTGAAAATATCACAGCATGGGTCAGGCTCACATTAGCCTCCAAATGATATCTTTGCTCTTGAACACTTTAAAGAGATCTTTTGCAATAAATTTGTTCTGCCTAATACAATATGTCATTTGATTTCTTGACTGCTGC